ATGTTTTCAACGTGCATTTCAACCCATGTAATGCACCCCACATTTTCCTTTTTGTTGACGTACAATATTCCACCGCAGGATATAACACATTTTCGGCGGTGCACTTTTTGTTATTACAAATAATGCCTCTATAAAACATCAATGTACAAATTTTTGTTGATATATATATATATATATATTTTTTTTTTTAATTTTAAATTTTTTAAAAAGTGGAACCACTGGGTCACCCGGTAACCAAATATTCTTTTTCAAAAATGACCAAGAGATACTACTGAGCATTTATCTTCATGACCATTACTTCCTATAAAGTTTCAAAGAAGGCCGGCAAAGGCTAGCAGCAGTCTCTCAGGCCCAGAAACAATTCTTGTTACAGCTGGTGAACTGCCTGCCTGGCCACTGCAAAGCCAGTCCTAGGCCCTTTGACCACCATGTCTGTCTCCTGGCCTATAGTAACAATCTTAGCAACAGCTAACCCCTACTGATGTCCTCCAGTAGCTTACTCTTTGCCAATGCCAGCCAGAATTATAACCTTATCATCTTATTAGATATAAAAGAGTCAGAATGAAATAGTATAACAAACAATAAAGGTCATGTGGACAGAGACTAAAAAACAATGGCCTAGATGCCCTGGGAAGAGCTTTTACATTTGAGATAAGCCCTAGGACTGTCATTTCCCAGAAGTGAGGAAGGGACAGGATCCACAGCAGTGAAAAGGAGCAAACTCATGTATTTCCCTATAGATATTTTAGACCCAAGTCTTCGTCCATAGTTTTTTGTTTGTTTCTTGTTTTTTTGAGACAGAATTTCATTATGTAGTGGAGACTGACCTGGAACTCACTATGCAGCCCAGGCTGGTCTCGAACTCACAGTGATCCTCCTGCCTCAGCCTCCCAAGTGTGGGATTAGGGATTAACATTATGTAGTGGAGACTGACCTGGAACTCACTATGCAGCCCAGGCTGGTCTCGAACTCACAGTGATCCTCCTGCCTCAGCCTCCCAAGTGTGGGATTACAGGCATGTGCCACCATGCCCTGCTAGTTTTGTTTTGTTTTTGCCTTAGAATGACTAAAAATGGTGATTACAGGGAGTTGGGAAAACTGTTGTCAGGAAATAGTATGCCAACAAGATATCCAGGAAATGGTACTCATTAGTCTGTGAGGAATGAAGGGAAAGAGAAAACTGGAAACAAACAGGAGGGTTCCAAAAAGTACATCACACCCCACAGACACACACCTGGCCACAATCCAGAAGGCTGATTTCTTCATTCTGTGCTACTGGGCACACCATGCCCATTAGGTAACTTCCACTTACTTTAGACTATTGTTGTATGTGCAATCCTGCCAGTGCTGGTTAAGCCAGGTTAGATGTAATTAATTTGGAGAACGAGCAAGCACTCTACTTTTGTAAGATGTATACAACAATTTTAGGGAATCATTCTTATGCAACTAAGACATACTCACTAAGAAAAGGTAGCGTTCTTGTGCTGATGTATTGCGAGCAGCTAGTTTGAGTATCTGTCCTTCTTTTATTAGTTCATTTGAAGGATTGACAATGTCTTCTTCTTCTCCCAACATTTCATAAATCTCTAAGAGTTTCTTTAGGTTTTCCTGGGAAATTCAAACAAAAGACACCAAGACCAAATATACGGCAGTTTCAACTCAGTGACCTGAATTATACCATGATCTTAGCTCAGATGTACATAATTCATTTTGTTTTTCTTTGTCTTTGTGGTACCGGGGATTGAACTCAGCCCCTTGTGCTTGCAAGGTAGGGCTGTGAACCACTGAAGCCGAATTCCTGGCCCCCAAATGTACATCATTTAGAAAGGACTGGGAGTAAGCATACGTCTGGGTGTAAAATACACCAGTGAACTCGACCCTAAGAGAAAAGGGGAGAGGATTACCCCACATAACACTAGACGTGGGTAAACAGTCTTTTTTGTTCACTCTGGTCCAGACCTACAGATAGTATTATGCTGTTACTGACAGTGTCTAACCTGAAGGCTTCCATCCTCTAGGAACCACTTACCATTTTTCTTATTGCACTATTAGAATGACTTGCTGCTGTAGATATAATTTCAAGCGATTCTAAATGGGAAAAAGAGAAAAGTAAATACATATGCTTTGTCCTTCCTGTGCTGCTAGGTAATTAAATAATTTACATACTAAAATAAGAAATTGAGACCAAAGACACAATAAGAGTAGCAGCAATTTCCATTTACAAACTAAACACTTTATTTTTGTACTGGGGATCGAACTCTGGCCCTTATACTTGTAAAGCAGGCAGCGAAACCACTGAGCCGAATCCCTGGCCCAAATTAAACACTTTCAAAAGCTCATCTGTAAGCAGATCTCTTGAACTCAAAGGGTATTTCTTTACTTTCATGAGTCATATATAATGATTACACTCACAAGTTTAATTCCTATCAGACCTTGGAAATCAACAAGCACTTATAGCCCGCTAGGTATCAGATACCTTGCCAGGTGCTCCTCTATGTACAGTAATCCCTCTGGATTTACCATTTTGCCATAGTCTGAAAATATATGGAAAAATCCAGAAATGGACAATTCTTAAGTTTTAATATCATACACCATTGTAATTGTTCTGTTTCACTGTTAGACAACCTCTTGTAGCTAACTTATGAATTAAACCTTATTATAGGTATGTACGTTCGGGGGGAAAAAGCTTAGAACTGTATATAACATGCAAGTGGGGTTCAGTACTTTCTGCAGCTCAGGCATCCATGGAATATCTTGGAAGGCATCCCCTAAAGTCAAGGGGGGCTATTAAATGCCAATTCTTACACATCTTTGAAAGAAATGAAGTACTGGGACTTGGCTGAGGTCACTTGGCTCTAGTGTGGTAGGCTCAGATCCGAACCTAGGTCTTCTGATGAGAACCTGCACAACCTTTCACCAGCGGTACAAAGTGACCATGAATCATAACCAAACTTCCTTTGGGGAAATGCACTCACAATTCCAGCCTGGGCTGAATGAAAGGGAAACTTCTAAAGCCAGCGTTAGAAGGCTTTGTTACTGGGACACGTGTGGGTAAGGGGAGAATGGGGACCCTTGGAATGGCCTCCCAAGATGCTCCAAGGGCTGCTCCTGCAGGTAGAGCTGTGGAAGCCGAGGGCTCCCGCCCCAGCAACCTCAGGGCTACCTCTCAATCCCGAATCGTGTCCTGTTTCTCCCTTCTGTTCCGTCCTGTGAACACTGGCCTCAATTCTGTTACCACAGCAACCCAGTTCCTTTTGGACTGCATGTTCTATTGTCTTTGCATTGCTGACCAGAATGTACTTTTGTTGCTTTCCTTTCTACTTTTGGGCCTCTAAAAGTCCTTCTTTCGTGTTTTCCTTAGAATTTTAAGTAGCAATGGGAAGTCAGAAAGAGTAATACAATGCTCCACTATGCCAACTTTCTTGTTTTGAATGTAGATATCTTAGGGGAATGCAAAGACCTTGAATACTGAAGGGGTGCATTTTTATTTATGTGTTAGGACACTATTCCGATCTGGGCAGTTCTGTGCATTTGACACAGGGTGCGGGACAGAGGAAGACAGAGATGGGCTGGGCACATGTGAGGAGGAACAAAGGATTCACCTTCAAGCACCACTATCATCTTCACTGAAGCCCAGCACTCAGGCCACACAGGGGAAAGGGGATGGGCAGACTTCCCAGAAAGTAGTAGTAGACTGGGGAAATGGCGAGTCAGAGTCACACTAGACTGCAGAAGGGGTGGGCAAAGGGAGGGGAGGTCTCTGTGGTCACTGGCATGGTGGGAGGAACAGAGCAGACACAGCTTACAGTCAAGAAAACACTGAAGCTCCAAGACCAAAGAGAGGTTTCGTGTTTCTCACCTCTCACGCCAAGGGCCACTTCCACTAAAGGCAAGAAATTATCAAGGACAGCAGCAGTGTTTCAGGACTGTATATCAGTACTTTAGTACTTGCTGCCTATCAGGCCATTCCTATTAACTCTCACTCGTCTCTTTAATAGCTGACTGATTCCTCAAAGTGCACCAGACAGTGGGGCACAGCTCAGTGGATGAAGATGTACAGCACGTGTGATATGGGAGGCCTGGGTCCAAACCCCAGCACCAACAACAAAGGAAAAGAAACTACATGATAAAGCTAAAGTATTACCGGAACTCATGAGTCTTAAGTAGAATAAAGTTTTCTCGGGGAAAGTGCTGTTATTACACAGTAAACAGCAGCATTTCCTGATACCTCCAGGTCGGCGAAGTCAGCTTTGCTGAGGTTCTTTTTACCTAGTAAATGTCATCCTAGCCTCCTCAGTGGGCCTTCGCCAGGCTCATTAACCAGCAGCACGTACAATCCCAAATGCTTGTGCTCCTCCGGGGAGGAGGTAACTGAGTACTGCTTTTCTCGGCTCTCTAAGACCACTGTGTTCTGTTCTGCAGTTAGTGAGTATCGGGAACCCAGAAGGGGAAATGGGATTCCCGTGGTGGCTTGCCTAACTGAGGGGGTGCCGGTGACGATTTCCAGTAAGACGATACTTTGACAGCAGCGTTTCCCTAAGTACGGCAGCTGTGAGAGACATCTGCCTTTAGAACCACAGGTCGCTTGGCTGCAGGATTACCCCATCGAGGCGGGGAAGAGACGCAGACATTTACTTTTTGCATCGCTCCAGTCTGGGGAGTCGGAGGGCAGCTTCCGCAGGTAATCCTTCAGAAGCATCTCGTAGCGGGGGATCCGCTGAACGGGCTCCAGCATGTGGTGCTGCAGACTCAGGCTCCCACAGATCTCCTGCCTCTGCAATGAGCAAAGTTTTCAAGGGTCATCTCACAGTTGGGCTGGCCAGTCTAAGGAGCACTGGAATTTCCCATCGAGGGCAACAGTTTGCTACGGCGTGTGGCTATGCACCAATGCCTCAGCTATATATACGGTGCCGTCTTCAAAACTGCTGATGTCTCTCAACTCCAGCCCAATCTATGAAATCCTAATTTTTGTGGAAGGAGCACTTAAAAGAGCTCATTCTTGGGCTGGGGATTTAGCTCAGTGGTTCCACTGCTTGCCTTGAAAGCGCAAGGTCCGGAGTTCAATCGCCAGTACCCAGAAAACAAACAGTAGCAACTCTGAAAGAACCCATTCTTATAACATCAAACTGTGAAGACCACTAATCTAGTGTAAGAATAGAAAGGAAAAAATCAAGAAGAATTTTAAGCAAGAAAATACTAGATTGCTGGCAATCGCTACAGTTAGTGCCATCTAGGGTTTGTGAAAGCAAGTTATTATGAAAGTATTCTACAGATTTTCAAAAGATGCACCTACTTCGCGAGGCTCACTAGGCCTAACCGTATTACATAACTCTGGACTTAGCAGAAACTATTTCATAATAAAATGTTCATAATGTCATTTCCTCTGAACGAACAGAAAGACTCCATGTGGAAGAAGGACAAGATCTGGGCATCTTGTTATCTGGCTGAAAATTTTAATTTTTCATTAGGTCCTCTTCATTAAGAGACCAGACTCCATGTCGTAGGCAAAATCAAGCCTCTAACATGTGCTTTCCATAAGCTGTTACCACCAGAAAGGGAGAGCAGGACTTGGTGAAGACAGGGAGAGGTCCCGAAGAGGCAGAGAGAAGAGGTACACAGCCGTGTGCGATGTGTGTTCTGGAAAAGAGTGACAGGGCCGTCTCGGTAAAGAGACAAGCATAAGGGCTCCGGGGATGAAAGAAAAAGATGAGCTAACAGCACCAAGGACCAGCAGAATCACGCTGACTTAACTGCCATCATGTCTCTGAGCACAGGAGCGACACCGACAGATCTGAGCCCTGAGAGCCTCCCCACGACAGTGTGGCTCCAGGAAGGGGAGGGCGATCCAGCTTGGAAGCTGCTGACAGACAGGGAAAAATCTAATAAAGGCCTGAAATTGGCACAGAAGCTGAGAGTTATGCTGTGCTTCCTTTAATAAAATGCAAGGTTCATTTTACAAATTTATTCACCTCATTTGATTGTCCCCAACAAATCAAATCTGTTATCTTCAGGAAAATATTACTGATGTCATTTTTTTTTTTAACACAAAGAAACAACTCAGAGAAATCAGAAGCATTTTTTTTCCTAAAGTCAGACGACTACACACAGAACAAGCCTGCCTCACGGGCTCCCTGCCTGCTCTTCTCCAGAGCCCATGGCGGTTTACTATGTGGAGAAGACACACGTCACAGAATTCGACAGAACATCACTGCCATCACATCGTCATTTGGTAACAGTGCCGCAAGCACTGTGCTGAGCACCTTGCACGCGTTACCTCCCGCACAGATGAACGAACATACCCAGAGAACGAGGAAGCCAGCTCGGACAGCACACGCCCGTAGTCCCCACTCTGGTGGGCTGAGGCTGGAGGATCACAAGTCCAAGCCCTTGCCTGAGGAGCATAGTGACTTAGTAAGACTCTGTTTAGAGATATAATGGGCTGGTGACATAGCTCCGGGATCGAAGGCCCCTAGGTTCAGTCCCCCATACTGAGAAAGAGGAACAGGAGGAGACAGATCGAAGATAAAAGCCAAACTGTTGAGGTCTGGTTAGTGAGAGAATAATGGTACCCTCTAACTCAATTACATGACTCTGAGGAAGGCATGGAAAGTCAGATGGAAAAAGACTTGGGAGTAAACACACACACGGACAGGCTCACTGTCTCGACAAGGCCTTCACACAGCACTAGCAGCTCAGGAGGCTGGGGACAGAGGCCTCGCCTGCAGACCCCCATCCCAGTGTCCGGCAGGACAGCTGATGTCACTGCAGGAGCGAAGACAGAGATGGTGGAGGCAAACCTCACACTGGGCCTGCGTCTCAGAATCGGCAGGCAGGGCAGGGGCAAGAGTCACAAAGGAGCTGGCGTTCCGAAAGGTACGTGAGTGTTCAACCATGAGAGAGAAGAGATGTTGAAAGGGGCACCACGGGGATGGGCGAGGCTGTGCTTGTGGCCGAGTGAGGGGCCTTTGAGTTCTCCCTGTTAGAAACAACTAGCAAACTGGATACAATCGGCTCAACCATCCTTCCCGCATCGTGGGAGTAGACTGGTGGTACACAATATTAAAAACTTTATAGAACGTGGGTAACAACAGTGAGAGGTGTGGTGCTCTGGCCTGGCTGATCCCAGCACCCCACCTTCATCAGTGAGGGCTCTTCCAGGTACCACCACAGGCTGTGACGCAGCAGCTCTCCGCCAAGGTCAAGAAAGGCACATTCACTGTGGAAGGGAGCGCTGCACACAGCCCTCGGTCTGGTTATCAGCAATGCCATCTCAGAGTGAGGCCAGCTAGTCGGAAGTCATAGCTGTGGGGACTTTGCTCATGAGGTAAATCATGTTCTAGGCTACGCATGCAAATGGACACCTGCTTCCCGGGACTACATGTGGACGGGTGTTGTGAGAAGGCCCAGTGAGCTTGAAAATGACGGGCTCTGTAAATGAGCACCCAGACTCACAGCCAGGCCCATCAGCACAGACAGAACTTTACTGGCTCTAAGTAGAGCACATCCTCCTGCTGTCTATCACTGTCTGACTCCTAACCACACAAGCACATGGGCCACCCTTAGAAAGGGAGGCTCAGGAATACACACAACTATCCAACAGAATCTTTTTTTTTTGGTACTGGGGATCGAACTCATGTCCTTGTGCTTGCGAGGCAGGCCACCGAACTGCTGAGCTAAATCCCCAGCCCACAAAAGAATCTTTAGTGGAGACAGCAGCAAGAGCACACCAGAAGAAGTTATTTTATAGATGTAGTCTAAGCAATTTAAAAAAACAAACAAAACAGTAAGAGGCAGGCATGGTGGCATACCCCTGTAATCCTAGCATTCCAGTGGCAAGAGGGTTGCTGCAAGTATCAGGCCAGCCTGGACTACATAGCAAGACCCTGTCTCAAAAAAACAAAACAAGGGCCGGGGATTTAGCTCAGTGGTTCTGCCACCTGCCTCACAAGCACAAGGTTCCAAGTTCAATCCTCAGTACCAAAAACAAAATAACTACCAAAAAAAAAAAAACAGTAAGAAAAACACAATGTAATCACAACCACTTTCAGTGGGGCAAAATCAGAATCCAGAGTTGCTATGGTAGGTTATCACAAATGTTTACTATTCAGCAAAAAATGACGATACACCCAAAGATATAGTAAAGTGTGAGTTATAATGGATAACTTTGGTCATCTGCCTGTTTTTCTCTAAGTGCCCTCCGTTGTTAGATGTGACAAAGACTCACATGTAGTTGTTCTATTTTGGTTTTGTGCCCAGTACTGGGGATTGAGCTCAAGACCTTGTATTTGCAAGGCAGTCACGAGTCACATTACCACTGAGCTAAATCTCCAGCCCGAAATGTAGTTATTATGAATATGGCCAAGGAAATGAAATATGCATGAAGAAGTCAAGGAAAAGGTGAGAACAATGAATACACAAATAGCAATTTTCAAAGGGAGATAGACATGAAAAGAGAAACAGAAAAAAACTGGAGTTGAAAAGTATAACTAAAATGAAAAACACGCTATACGGGTTCAACACCTTATCTGAGATGTAGGAATAATCAGGGAACTTAAAAGGAAGATTAATAAAAATTACATACCCTGAAGAATGGAGAGTAGAAAAGACTAAAGAAAAGGAAACCATTTCATAAACACGTGGGATAACAACAAGAATATCAACATTTTTGCAATACGAGCCACAAAAGAGAAGAAAAAGGACAAAATATCTAAAGTAATGGCAAAAAACTTCTCAAAATAATTTTTAAGACTAATGCACCAACTGTACACAAGGAATGCAAACAGTATGTACTGCAAACATGTACAAAAAACAAAACCAAGAAGGAAGGGGAGAGAAGGGGATGAAAAAAGGAATGAAGATGTGTTCTGTCTGTCCACCAAGTCCACACAAGGAATAGGAACAGTATGTACTGCACACGTAGAAATCAAACAACACATTAAAAAATCCACAGGGCCAGGGATTTAACTCAGTGGTTCTGGTGCCTGTCTCACAAGCACGAGGACCAGAGTTCAATCCCGGTACCAAAAAAAAAAAAAAATCTACAAATGAAAGGTTAACCAACCCAACGTAGAAAAAAAATACAAAAAGAGCCACACCTGTATACATCATATTCCAAGTACTGAAAGCCAATAACAAAACCTTGATAACAGCAAGAGAAAAATGAATCATAACTCAAAGGAAAAGTAGCAATAAAATTAAAGTCTGACTTCTCACGGGAAGCAATAGAGGAAAAAAGAAGTACATAACATATTGAAAGTGTTGGGGAAACCCAGCAGGTCTATATTCTGGAAAACTATCATTTAAATATAAGCATGAAACAGTATATTCTCAGATAAAAACAATGACAGAATTCACTGCTAGCCAATTTAAGTTTAAAAAATGGTTTTTAAGGTAGTAAAAGTACTCCAGAAATGACTAATATGTGTTAATATAAAGTTATAGATAATTATTTCTCATGTCCTGAGTTTTAAAAAATACATAAAATTATATGAAACAATTATAGCACAATTATATTGTTATAAAAAAACTATAAAGATGAAATCCATAATGACGCTAATAGCACAGACCATAAAAAGAGGGAATTAAGCTATATTGGAATGTGTCTGTATTTCAGCAGAATTAAGGTAGTATAATCTGAATTAAGTAGTGATAAATCACTTTAATTAGAGTGGTATAATACCAAGAGCAAACTGGGAAAATAACCCCAAAATAGTTCAAAGCAGGAGGGATTAAAATGGTGCCCTAAGAACTAGTTCTGTGACACAGAAGAAGGCAGTTAAAAACAAACAGAATTCCGACCCCCAAAATATTATGTCGTGTAGGGAATCCTTTAATATTTAAATTATATCAAAGAGTAAGTTACTAACAATGTTGAATTTTGACTAGAGTGAAATTTATTACAGTATTATGAAAATGTATTATCTGGGTTTGGTAAACGTTTATAGAAAAGAAAATCGGGATTATCAAGTGACAAAATTTTTTTTCCTCCTAAACCTCAAGGTCCACAACAATCATTCTTCATATTTATTTAGACTCCTTCCAACATTTCCACCTCAGAAAGAATGGGAGATATGCAGACTGAGGACTCTCTTTACAAATTTATGTAGATCCTAATACAGCTGGCCTGTGCTGGTTGCAAAAGCAGAGAAAGAATTTACTGCTGAGTATGTGGCATGTGCTCAGTAAGTATTTTTATTCTCCAAAGATGACCTCTGCATACTTCAAGTTGAAACGGATTTTGGCTAGGTATCTCAGACAAATCCCTACATCTCAAGTTGTAGGCCTAAATGACCATACGATTGGTGTGGAAAAATTAATTCATAGTCCTGTCCTCTTACCTGAATGTCTTCAATCACTGATTTGAACTGGGGGATTCGTTCTGTCATATTTTTAACCAACTCCATTGCGTTATCAAATCCCTTCACATACTCTCCATACATCTTAAGGAACGGTGCCAGTTTCTGAAGGATGTCGCCAATTCTAGGAGTGGTTTCCCTGTATCGAACATCAAAAAAAAGTCATAAAGATTTCTTATAGAATGCGCAGATTTAACAGGAGTCAAAATGAAGCAAGTACTTTTTATGTCCACCCTGTGCTTTATCAGATCCACTTTGCTGTGAGACTGGCAGAGAATAAAGCACTTTAGAGATGGAGTTTAGTCATAAAGAGAGGTGCCTGACATTCTCAAAGCCCAGGTTACCCTTATGTCTTGTCTTCCTTATTCAAAAGAGTTTGTAGAGAGCAGAGATGAAATTCGTTCCAGCACAGCTGCCACCAAGCCTTTAACACACAGATTTGGCAAAGCATCTGGCTCTAGCAGTGTGCGGTAGAAAGGCTAAAACTTCACTTCAACTGAAAGGCTAAAACAGCGTGTGAAACCGCTGTACACCTATCACTGCTGTCTTCTCTTACCATTCTTGCATTCGTTTCTCCAGCTCTGGCAGTAGGAATTTACTATGGAAGGCATGTATTGATGAAATGTTAGAAAAGATTTTATTCACCATCTCAGCTGGGAATGAGCCTCGGTTGGCTTCTTCCAGTAGTTTACAGTAAAATACCTGAGGAAAAGAATAAACCAAACATTACTTCAGATTTGCTGGTTAACCACAGTGGGCTCATAGTTAACTTTTGTTGAGTAAATGGAGAAGTTCATGGTTCAAGAAACCAATCATTGTTTGAAATAATGGGTATGTGATCTGGGAGAACTATGTATAAAAACTGGGACACACTGACTGTAACTTAGGGTGTGTGCTTGTCTGTAGGATAAGATAAAGAATATACCTTCTGTGCCAGAGAATCTCCAATTAAAGTGAACAGGATTTACTCTTCCGATCTACAGCTAGAACTTAGGACTATGAAAACATTTCTATACACACCGACAGTCACTGTGGTATTTTTCACCTCTGTTTCTGTTTCCGATGACCTCTACGGCAATTACTACATACTGTTCTTCATTCTGGCTTGCTGACATAAATCGTACTTTTCCCATTAAAACATTATGTACCATAGGAAAAGATGATACGCGATTTAGTTTCCACCATGGAAATGGTTGGTGGTCACTGAGTGAACAAAAGTTCATTTGGATTCTGGATGTTCACATGCTTTTTAGTACATAATAATACATGATAACAACAACGGGACCCTGATTTGTAGGGAACAAAGTTCCCTTGCACTCAGTAACAAGTATCTTACAGACAAGTGGACACAGAAACACCCTGCAGTCTTAGCTCTGCTCCACAAGGGCTACCACCCCTCTCCACTGTGATTCTGCTAACTATAGGCAGGAGGAGGTCTGTCCCTTCATCACAGCCAGATGGTTGTTAATTTTCTAAATTCACCTCCACTGCATTTTCTTGGGATGCAAAAAGAACACAAAATTATTTCCTTAGACATTCTGGAAGACAGGCTACTATAGTAATTAAGATTCCAAAAGTCTAAGAGGTTAGCAACAGTAGTCCAGTTGGCTTGGCAGAGAGAACGGGAGAGGGAGGATGGGCTTACTAAGATGTTTTTCTATGATGGAACTACCACAGAGCTCCAGGTCTGTAACTCTCGTGGAAGGAAAAAAATATTGCAAAGGCTCAAACTCCAGAGACACTGGTTTCGTTTTATAGTGGAATTCCTTGAAAAATGAGTATATGAGCTACAACCCCCCTATCTCAAAGAACACAAGCCCTCAAGTGCTCCTCCAAGGTCACCCTACAAGGCATGCCACTCACCACTGGGACCAAGGCTAGGGTGTGCCCAGGACCGCCCTAACCTTGAAATTCCAGTATTCCACTGGCAGGAGAAGGACAGTTCTTTTTTGTTGTTGTTACTGGGAACTGAACTCAGGACCTTACACTTGCGAGGCAGAACCACTGGGCTAAATCCCCAGCCCTGGGACAAACTCTTTTTAACAACCAACACTCAAACATGGCACCTTCTCTTTTAACAAGAATCTGTAGTAGTAGCCAATCAACCAACTGTCACTTTTTCATAGTTGAAACAGGTTTAAAAAGCTTTTTCTTTTCTTTTCTCTTTTGGTACCGGGGATCAAACATAGGATCATGGGCTTGCTAGGCAGGCAGAAGAACCACTGAGCTAATTCCCCAGCCCTAAAAAGCTTTTGTTTTCCACAGTTATTCTTCTAATGCATGAAAAAAAAAATTTTTTTTTGGTTTTTTTGAGACAGGGTCTCACTATGTCGTTGAGACTGACCTGGAACTCACTGTGTAGCCCAGGCTGGTCTCAAACGCACAGCAATCCTCCTGCCTCAGCCTCCCAAGTGCTAGGATTATAGGTGTGCGCCACCACACCCGGCTTATGAAAAAATGTCTTGAAGTCATCTCAAATCTCTGCCATGACCACCTGTACAAAATATGACAAAGTTGATTACATGTGCAAAAAAAGATTCACTGGCTAACTTTATTCCAGGCACTCCATTAAAATGTTTCACATAAGGTCGAGCAAGTAAACTCAAAATCCTTTGGCTGCACTGGTTAAGATCACTCACACAGTGCTAAATCGCAAACAAGACAAACAATCAGCAATATATTCATGTCAGCATTAGCACTGCTGAGATCTTAGACTGTGAGAGCAATATGCCCCACACCCCACGGCCACCATAAATGGCTAGTCAGACTAAGGTCTAACACTGCAGGACAGATAACGTCATTTGTGACTTATACAGGAAGAGAACTCTAAGAATTACAAAATGTTTATATCGAGTGAATTTACCAATGCAGCCGAAAAGTACTAAAGATTCCCTTCAGCAAAAATTTCTTATTCGCCAAAAAACAGCCTTGGCTTGCAGTTTCTAAATCATCTAAATTACTGGGTTAAAATAATACACAGTGCCAGTTCATGAAATGATTCCAAGGGAAGACATTACCTGATCTAAGAGGTCAAGTCGGTTGATGTAAGCTCTTTCTGTGAGCAAAAGTTCATTGGCTATTTTGTGAAGTTTTTGCTCATTTGTTTCCTAAGAATAGAACAGATATCCACACATTAGCAATGGCATCTGGACATGATCTCTCAAGTAATAAACACCTCACCAAGTAGCTTGATCAGAGCCGATTTCTTACATTTCTCAGGTACTCATTTCTTTCAACCATCAAGGAACATCTGCGAACTGAGCAACCAATTAGATGTGGGATGCGGCTTAATTCTGCAGCAGAGCAACACTACCTGGCCCTCAGAACATCTTTTCTCCTCCTCAGTTCCTGGCCCTATTTTTACCTACCTCTCTCAGGCTCTCACCAGTCTCTCCAACATCTGATTCGGCACATTTTATAAGCACATTTTGTAAGTAGTAAAACAAATCCCCAATATGCCCAGCAGAGATTCAACTGTCCACACATTGTTAATCCTGCTTCATTATGTACACTCTCACCTCTCCATCTATATTATTTTCAATTAAATCTCACTTTTTTATTTCCACAGTACTTATTTAACCCTAAATATACTTGTATGGCCTTACTAGTTCTATGACGACAGGGACATTGTTTTCCTTATCAGCTGCTCTAGCCCCTGTGTCTATTACTATTCCGCCACATAAACAATGGAATTCAATGAAATTATTAAACAAATGGTATCACTAACTATTGGTGTGCATTCATTACTTTGATGTGGACTTAAGCTAAAAGCAGATTCTTCCTTTTGGAGAACTTCTACCTCAACACCAAAGCCCAAGTTCTATCTCGATAATAGAACCATCTCTTCCCAGTTCACCCTCTTTGGAAGCCTGAACCTTGGCCCTGTCCAGGGAAATCCAGCCAGCTCCCAGGCCCTTCTCCTAGAGATGGGTTGTCTTAGCGATCATCCTTTAAGCTCTCATCACTGCCATCTGTTTTGCACATCAAATGTCAAGCCTGGGTCGTCAAAAGTTTCCAAACGATCTGATTCCAACCTGTGTGGGGCTCCACCCAGCCTTGCTGTATAGGAATCTTTCAAAACTTTCCTCGGTCCACATGATCCTACTTCCCACAGAAAGGTGGGCTCCAGCAGTCCTCTGCTCACTTAGAGAAACACCCAGATCTCCTCACTCCCTCAAACTTCTCTCTCTCTGTACGTCTAAAAGCATCTTTCTCTCCAAACACACCAGTCTAACACATCTTTCATCATTACCTAAACATGTTCTCGGCCACATCCAGACCTTCCTTCTTTCCAGCCTCTCAGCCTCCGCCTGGCATACGCTCTTGCTGTATGTCTGTAGTTGTGTTAAACTTGCTTTTCTTTTGACTATCTGCTATATTTCCATTTATTGTTTAGTGTTTAAACCCCTTGGGCTTAGTTGTAATAGTATCCAATTTATTTCTTTCCTTATTCTTTTTTTTTTTTGGTAAGACAAGATCTCACTATATAGCCCAGACTGGCTTTCAACTCTCAGCAATCCTCCTGCCTCAGCCTCCCAAGTGCCGGGATTACAGGTGTGCACCACCACACCTGGCTTATTTTCTGGGAGAGTCACATGAATGAAGATCCTGTAAGCATAAGTCCTATAAGCAGCCAACCCACAACCAGAGGAAGGAAGCCAATAGTCTTGTCATTGATTTTGTTTGGCTAATTGTTATTTGTGGCTGGAAGCATTCTCATTGATACAGAAAACTCAAATACAATGATATATGTGCAGTAAGATCTATTTGAAAACTTTCAAGTAACTTTTAAACAATACTTACAGAGGAGGAAAAAATAAAAGCTAAGTGCTTAGTGAAATAAAAATGTGACGTTTGAACCGTGATAAGTGAATGCAAATGCATAGTGAAAATAGGAAACCTATCAACATTTCAGAGGAACAGATACACCATCCCTCATACTCACAAGAAGTACTGTGCTGCCTCAACATGACAAACTCTTTGTTTTTTTTTTTAAAGCTTGACTTACCAAGACATAATTTACAAACAGCAAAATCCTCAGTTTTCGGAGTTTTGCTATAGGCGTACAACCATATAACCAGGGCCACAGTGAAGACAGAGTATCCCCAACAAGCCTAAATGTTTCTTTTGCCTTCCATTATCAACTTTCTCTTCACTTCCAGATGTCCCACTCCAGCTAACCCTGAGCTGTCTCCGTCCAGGATATCACGTAAATGGAATCACAGTGACCAGCTCTTCTGGATATTACGTCACTTTGAAAGATGCACCTGTGTTGCTTTTTGTAGCAGTAGTTTGCTCTTTATAAGCTCTCAGTTTTATTCTAATAACACTGACATCTGCTTGTAGTTCTGAGACTATCGTTAAACGAAAGCAACCCAGCAGAACTTGCGCCTTGATAACATAACCCTCACGAGCTGGGATATATGTTAACCGACACATTATACCATCTATTACAGCTATGCAGTGAAGTCCCCAGAGGTTTTACTTTTCACAATCCCTCATGATCTCAAATAGGAAGTGCATAAGAAACAAATCTTTTGCTGACTACAAAGCATATGTTAGCTGAACTTGGCAAATTGTGGATTTCCTGGTCCTATTTTGCAAAATCTGAGAGATGACAGCAGTTATTAGCAAAAGCTGTGCCCCTTCCACACAGATGGTCTAATACACACATTAGGTGCCAGCGCCAAAGCAAAGGTAGCAAAAATAACTTTGCTGATGAACACTTTAATCACACAGAGATTTACAAAAAAGTTATGAGGGATTTTCACAGCAGAGATGAGGAAAAGAACTCGTGGAACTTTGCTTTAATCAGAAAAAAAAATAACCATGGTAGAAACAGCTAACTCTTATTCACTGATCAATTATTGTGTGCCGGACACTAAGTATTTTACATAAATTGACTAATCTTTAGAATTCTATAACCATTTTTATTAATATTTTTCAGGCAACACATGTACACACACACACACACACACACACACACACACCCCAAACAAATCCTGAGGCTTAAAGAGGCCCTGTAGTCTACCCAAGGTCACAGAGTGTCACAGTGATTCTGATTCCAGTCATACCCACGAGTCCATGATTTTAAGTAACTGCTCAGAACACAGTTTCTCACCTTGCTTTACAACAAAAAACAAGACTATGAGGTGTGCCTAAGAGGAGACAGACTGGCAAAATGCAAACTGTCTGCTTACCAAATCCACCCAGAAATGGACTGTGGATATTACCATGCATTTTAATTTACATTTTATTCTTTAACATCAATTGTATTCAAGGCAAAGCTTTTAGCATTTTAGTAATAATTATCAGGTTACAAAATTTGGCCATTTTAATGTAAAAATAATATAATGGCTTTCAACATTTATAAAATATTTACCAATACACACCTATGAGTACATTTATGGAGAATTATTTTATATATATATTTTTTGGGGGGACTGTAGCTCATGGCTCAGTACCTCCTCCCCAAGGCACACAGTAGAAACTAGAATTTCTCTCCCCACACTGGGCCACAGAAACTCTAATTTCCCCCACTCTGTCTTGGAGCTGGCCATGCAGAAATGCTTTGACCTATGTGGGCCCCAGACTCTGGTCAGTCTGGAGAGGCCTTCCTCACACCCTGCGGGAGAGGCCAAGAAGACTCTGAAAGGTGGGCCTTGCTGGGCTTCCCATCCAGTCTACTAGCAGCCATGCCAGTGCCAGGAAGTGTCCATAAATCCCAAAGGACAGGATTCAGAAAGTTCCTCAAAGATAAGCATGTGGAGCTTCCCGGCCTCCCTTCACCTGTGCCCTCTCTCTCTATCCTTCGCAAGTCTTTAAAGTAGTGACTGCATTTCCCTGAGGTCAGCAAGCTACTGAAGCACATCAGTCATGTGTAGGGAGGGGTCGTGCTGCCCCGATGTGAGTGCAGCCTGCAGACAGCTCACAGGTGCACTGCCTGGGGATGTGACCGGCTGCGGCGGGGGCAGCCTCACTGCAGCCTCACCTGTGGGGTCTGACACTGTGTCCTGGTAGATTTCACTGAAATCAGTGAGAAGGTTCCAGAGCTGGCATCGCAGCCACAGAACTGCTGGCGGGGAGAAATCTTCACTCATTTGGGGAACAAAGAAGTGACTTACATTGTGTTTGGTGGGAGAAACTGATCTAGCACTGGTTTTTCCTTCCACATCATCAGGCTGTGGTAGATTTATGTATGAGGGTAAACTAGCATTTAGAATGCTATTACAAGGGGGCTGTACTCAATTTTTTAAAATAGGAACATAAACACTGTTTTTTTGTTTGTTTGTTTTTGGTAGTGGGGATGGAATTCAGAACCTTGCGTTTGCGAGCCAGGTGGCAGAACCACTGAGCTAAATCCCTGGGCGACACTGTTTCTTAACATTTTCCACTTCAAAATTATACACTTTATGCTTAGTGCTTTACTAAGAAATAGTTTACTCTCATGATCACTGAGAAACAATAATGGTTATTTATTTATTTTTGAGACAGGGTCTCACTATGTAGTTGAGACTGACCTGGAACTCACTGTGTAGCACAGGCTGGTCTCAAATTCACAGTGATCCTCCTGCCTCAGCCTCCTGAGTGCTGGGATTACAGGCATGTGCCACCACACCTGGCAACAATGGTTATAAAACAGTAACAATCTCATTTTCTTATATTACAACCTAATAGGGCTGACATTTCAAAATAACCTATGAATAATAATGAATTAGAAATAATTTATAAGTTTTAGTAAACTATATTTTAAAAATCCTACTTTCCATTTTGATACCTGGAATTGAACTTAAGACCTTGTGCTTGCCAGGCAGGCATGGCGCCACTGAGCTACATCCCTGGCCCCAAACATCCTCCTTTAGATTTCCTCTTTAAAAGGACTTTTTCACTTGTAAATTCACAATACTATAGTCAAATGTTGAAAACTGCTCCGGCGTTTTTCCTTAAAACAAAAATACATTATGTATATCTAAGCCACCAGAATTGAAAACGGTTAATTCCTCTTTTAACTGAATATACAACCACAGAAATTTCCCCTTGCTGCTCAATGCCCCCTGAGCTATTTCCCTGCGCTTGCCACCTCTGGGGCGAGGCCTGGCCTGGCCTG